AATATTTTACCTTTATCGTTAACTAAATCGTATATTATCGGAGAAATCTTTTTTTTAATAATAAATGGACCACTGAATTTTTCTAATAGTTTTGCGTTTTTCTTTTCCATTTTATTTAATAAATGGAAATTTCTTTTAAGAACTTTTTCCCCTATAATAGGATTCCAATCGCGTTTTCGTAAATTATATTGTTTCTGTTGTATATTAAAATTCTTAGCTAGATTTGACCGAACTAGTACAAGTGCATCTTGTAATTTTTCAATTCGCTTAGAAGATGCATTATTGGCTTGTGAGTTTAAACGCGAGTCTTGAAAACCAGGCGGGAAAAATTCTCGGCCAGAGGTAAGGAAGGCAGGAGTGAAACCGGTCGATGTATGCTTCGCGGTGTTGTAGGCGAATTGAAGTTCCGGTAGATGTCGGTCCCAGTCCGGTTTCTTGCTGTCGATGTATTGCCTAATCATGGTCTTAACTACCTTGTTGACTCGTTCCACTGGATTACATTGAGGTGAGTAAGGGGGTGTAAGACGATGAGTGATACCAAAATCTTCGAGGAAGGATTTGAATTCTTTACTTATAAACTGTCTACCATTGTCTGACACTATTTTCTGTGGGCAACCAAAACGATAAAAAATTTCTTTTAAAGTAGAAATAACTAATATTGAAGTTGCTTTTTTAAGTGGTTTTAATTCTAACCATTTAGTAAAGCGATCTTGGATAACACACAGCATTGTGTTGCCGGAAGTTGTCCTAGGAAGTGGGCCTATGAAGTCAATAGATAGCATTTCCCAGGGATTTCCTACTAGAGTAGCATTCATGTGATTCGCTGCTGCTTGTTGAGAATTTTTATTACGTTGACAGTTTTGGCAATTTCTAACGTATGCTGCACCATCTCGTAACATTCCGGGCCAGAAGAAGAATTCGCCCAGGCGTGCTAGTGTTTTGGCCACGCCCAGATGACCTGAAGTTTTTTCGTCGTGTACTTTCTGTAGAATTGATATTCTTTTTCCCTTGGGCACACATAATTTCCATTGGTCTTCATAAGGGGTATCCTTGAAGTCTAGGGTGTGTAGTACATGATGAAAAAGTTTTCCGTCCTCGATACGATAATCGGGATTTTTCTCAGGGTTGTCCGAAGTGTTTTTCCATTGGCGTTGATACCATGCGCAGGAGGGTAAATCGTTGATTGAAGAGACTTGTAAAGGCACTCGAGAAAGGTAATCGGGAAGTTCATTCTCGATTCCTTTTTTATATTGAACCTCGAAGTCTCATTGGGCCAATTCCATTATCCAGCGGGCTAGTCTTCCTGAAGGAGTGATGATGCTATTCAGCCATTTTAGAGCTTGATGATCTGAGACAACTATGAAATGATATCCTTCTAGATAGTGTCGCATTTTCCAAATGCCCCATTTTACAGCTAGGCATTCTAGTTCCGTAGCTGAATAGTTTTTTTCCGCTGGGTTTAAAGTACGGCTGGCGTAGGCGATGACGACTTCTGTTGATCCAATCTTCTGTGTCAAGACTGCTCCTAGGCCTTCGAGACTGGCATCCGTTTGAAGATAAAAAGTTTGAGACCAGTCAGGGCAAGCTAATACTGGAGCTTCGGTTAGTTTCTTTTTTAGATTTTCAAAGGCCAGTTGTTGATCATCTTTCCAGATCCACGGAGTATCTTTTTTCAATAATTTAATTAAGGGCGATATTACGACCGATATATCTTTTACGAAGCGACGGTACCAAGATACCATGCCTAAAAATTTTCTCAATTCTTTTAGGTTAGTAGGTGGAGGTAATTTCAAAATGGCGTCCACCTTATCAGGATCTGGGTGTAGTCCGTCTTCGTCCACTAGATGTCCAAGGTAGGTGAGTTGTGTACGAGCGAAAAAACACTTTTCCCAATTTGGTATTAATTTAGCTTCACGTAGTCTGGAAAAAACTGTTTGAAGTAAGTCGATGTGTTTTTCGAAAGTTTCGGATGTAATAACGATGTCGTCTAGGTATGAGAATACATTAGGTGCCAAATCTGGAGGTATAACTCGGTCGATAAGGCGTTGAAACGTTGCTGGTGCTGAATGTAGTCCGAAAGGCATGACTATGAATTCAAAGAGTCCCATACCAGGCACTGTGAAGGCTGTGAGGGGGGAGCTTTTTTCTTCTAACTCCACCTGCCAGTATCCATTCTTCAAATCGAGTGTTGAAAGGTATTTTGCACCCTTAAGCTGATCAAGGATACAGTTGATACGCGGTAATGGATAAGCATCTTTTTTTGTAACTTTATTTAATTTACGAAAATCGATGCAAAATCTTAATTTTCCGTTTTTTCTCTTTATTAATACTACCGGTGAACGCCATGCACTACTAGATTTTCTAATAACCTTTTGTTTCAGCATTTCCAAGGCTTCTTGTCTCATGAGTTCCTGGGTTACTGGATTTCGGGGTTGATAACGTTGCTTGATCGGTGTTGGTTCTTCGAGATGAATTACATGTTTTAGAAGTGGAGTGTGACCTTTTATATTTTGGAATAAAAGTTTTCCTTTTCTAATAAAGCATTTCATTCACTTTCTTGATCCTTATTGAGCGATGTTAATCCTGATGGCCCAATTTCACAAATTTCAACCTTGAATGACTCATGTAATAACCGTATATTTTGGTTATCAATGAGAAGTGAAAAGTTGAATTTTTGTAGCAGGTCCATACCAATCAGCATAGGTTGAGATAGTTTTGGTAGGACCAGGAACTTGTGATTCACTTTGGTAGTTCCAGCTGTCATTTTCATGTTGAAACTAGTCTTGACCTCGAACTGGGTACCATTAGCCATGGCCACGATGATGTCCTCCAGATTTGTGACTCCTCCTTGGCTGACCAGGCGATTTGCTGTGTGGGTATCGATGAATGAGCAAGCTGCTCCAGTGTCCACCAGGGCTGGGATCACCAGGTCTCCGCATTTGCAATTGATAAAAATACGGGAGTCTTTAGGGAGTGAGGTCGAACTTACTCCGATGGTCCGACCTTTTTCTCGTTTCCCGGCTTCTTGCATTTACATTCGCGAGTAAAGATGCCTTCTTTGCCGCAGTAAGAGCAAAATTTCTTCGGTCTGCTCCTGCAGACAGGACGACGATGACCGGGTCTGCCACAGCGCCAACAGTGTGTCTTTGGGTCGTATGGTTTGGATACTTCAGAAACTTGGGGGGGGGGGCTTTGTGGGGTTTTTCTACCTTTTGAATGTCTCTTAACACCTCTGCTATTTCTTCGACTCGTAGGATAAAGGCACCAACTGAGTCGAATTCTTGTCTGCGAATATGCAATCTGTAGACTGGTTGCATATTCCAGAATAACGTATCTAGTTCACGGTGGATGTTGTAACCTCCATGTCTACGCATCATGGTTTGGATATCCGTGGTGAAATCGCGAATGGACTCGGATCCCTTCTGTTTACGATTAGAGATTTGGGATTCTAGGTTTCTAAATTCACTAGGTAACAGATAGAATGTTCTTAGGGATGTATATAGTTCTTCTAACGTTCGCGAGGTACGTATTGCATTTCTATACCAAAGTAGGGCACCACCTCTTAATAGCTCTGGGAATCCTCGTAGTAGTTGTTCGTCGGAAAACCCATACGATGATTGTAATTCTTCTACTCGTTCCAGGAATGCGTACGGATCTTTACCGTCGAAATGGCAACTCCATTTCCTCATGGATTCTATGACCGAAGTATCACTGAATACTCTAGGTTGCGGTGGGTTAAAGAACACTGGTTGATTGATCGGTTGATCAGCGGACCCGGGAAGGGAATTAGCAGGCTGGTTACTGGTGGATGCTCGCTCCGGTAGGAGTTTGGGATCTTCTAGGGCTTCCTTGTCGAACGAGATGTCTAATTCTTCGTTGTAGTCCACTGGGTCTTCGGTTAATTCTAGGAGTTCGGGACGAGATTTTACAAACGCTACGAATCTTTGACGGAGCTCTATAAGAGTTCCAGAGGAATCAATTTGATGACGTTGTAACTGAGCGATTAAATCGTTCTTTGTAAGCCTGTAGATCCATCTGACGCCCATCCTGGTGGCAGCAGGGTGGCCAATTTAGCGATTTTGTCGCTAGATCTAGCGATTTTTAAAAATAATTTGCGACTTTTTTTGAGTCCTAGCGACTGGTGACAATTCTAGCGATTTTATTATGCCAATAGCGACAATCTGGTGAGTTTCTATATAAAGAGGTTTTCACGCTAGCATACGTATAAAGGATGAATTCTCATGAAAACATGAATGTGTTAGCGTAAAATTATCAGCCAATCTGTGAGTTCTGCGGATTGAAAATATTTAATAAGTTGTTCTAATTGGCCGATTATTAGTTTTACCGTATGTCCTTACGTTATTTACGCTGACAAGCGGTTTCACCTTAAGGTTTCAACAGCTGATACGTATTACAGTTCTATATACGATTATGTATCATAGACTAACATTTCAATTCAAACTGAATTGTGAAAAAAATTGTTTTGAAGTTCTTTCTTTTAATCTCTAATTATATGGTATTAGAATTATATTTTATTCTATTTCACGTATAAAAAATTTAAGTAAATTCTGTTTATGTCAACATAACCTCTTTTATAAACAAATCAAGTTTTATTTATAATTTCAACAAGATTTTATAAACTCAAAGGTATAATAAAAGTTTAAAATAAATAATAACGTATAATCAATGTCAATGCTAATTAATTTAATATATCATAAGTGCAATATATGTTTTTCTTGAATCAAAGAGTTCTTATTATATACTTATAGTTTTCAGCAAATGTCTAATTCTGTTTATTGACTGAGCTATACTTCAAATTCTTTATCAGAATTTAAGTTATTGTTATGTAAGTATATAATAATTTAGTGAATTCATTTTTAAATATACATAAAAGCTTCAAATAATCACAATATTAAAATTAATAATAATTCAACTACTTAAAAATTAAAAAAAAAATATTAGTTTTATTTTGCTTAAAACAATTAATTTAATTTTTTGTTTAGAAAAATGAGTAAACCGCGATTATATGAACAAAAATACAGAGCAGTTTGGGAAAAAGATCCTATTTTGAAAGACTGGTTGGAACCAGTTACTGATAACCTTAAATTAGCTAGTTGCAAATTTTGCAAAACAACATTAAATGCAAAATTGTCGGATCTGCAGAAGCACGCAAATACAGAGAAGCATAAAATAAATTCAGCACCATTTTCTTCTAATCGCCAGCGCAAGATTGTTTTGAAATCTGATAATTTCGATTCGAAAAGGAAAGAGGCTTCGATATGCTTATACTGTGCAGTTCACACGTCTTTGCGCTCAGTAGATCATTTGACTGATCTTCAAAATAAATTGCATAAGGACGATCTTCATCTACATCGTACAAAATGTGGAAATATTATTAAAAATGTTTTCGGTCCACATTTTAATGCTGATCTTATATTAGACATTGGCGATAGTCCTTATAGCTTCTTACTGGATGAATCTACAGATATTAGTGTTTCAAAACTTTTAGGTATAGTAATACGTTACTATAGTAAATCACGTAAAGAATTTGTTTCAACATATCTTACTTTAATTGAAGTGGAAAATGGATCAGCGGAAACAATTACTAATGCTGTTAAAAACGCTTTAACTAATTTTAAGTTGCCAGTTAAGAATTTAAAAGGTATTGGAACTGACAATGCGAGCACGATGGTAGGTGTACACAATGGAATATATGAGAGATTAAAAAGAGAATTAAATTTGCCTAATTTGATTTTGATTAGGTGCGTGTGTCATTCTATCCAGCTCGCAGTGTCTGAAGCTTCCAAAAAAGCGTTGCCTAGGAATATAGAGTTTCTCATTCGAGAAACTTACAAATGGTTTTCAAAATCTTCAAATAGACGTCATGAGTATAAAACAATTTATAAATTGATCAACGATGATGAATCTCCTTTACAAATTCCTAAGATGGCCAATACACGTTGGTTATCGATCGAGCCAGCAGTGTCTCGAATTCTAGATCAGTGGGTAGAATTAAAAACTCATTTTCAAATTGCTCGTTTAAATGAGAACTGCTATACAGCCGAAATATTATTTGCCATGTACAATGATTCTGTTAATAAAGTTTATCTGTCATTTCTTTTGCCAATTTTACAGTCAGTTCAAAGTGTAATTAAGAGCTTTGAGTCTTCGGTCGCGGATCCGACAAAACTTTTAAATGATCTTAAAAATACATATGCATCCATTGTTAAGATAATTGTAAATCCTAATGCAAGAATTGATATTTACAAAGATAGATTTGAAGAACATTTGGACTCGAATCCCTATTTAGGTTTTTCTTTTTTGGATGCTTGTCGTCAAGAGAATATTTCCGCTGAAAATCAAAATATTATCAAAGAGAGGTGCGTTTCTTTTGTAAAATATTTAGGAATCGAATTGCGTGATCGTTTACCAGATAATATTGGTGTTTTGGAGAAAATTCGACTTTTTTCGTTGGATGAATGTTTGAATAGATTCAAACCAAGCATCACTCACGTTGCAAAAATGTTTTATTCGAACAACATCGAAGTGACGAAAATAGAGCATCAATGGCAAAACTTGAATTCTGTTAATTGGACTGATTTAAAGGATACTTTATCATTTTGGTCAGAAGTAAATTCTTATACTGATGCCTCTGGATTAAATCCTTTTCAGGAATTAGGGGAGTTGGCCTTAACTTTGTTGGTGTTGCCTTTATCAAATGCAGACATAGAACGTGTATTTAGTCAGATGAACTTAGTCAAAACTAAATTAAGTAACAGAATGCTACTTCCCATGCTAAATTCTATCTTACAAATAAGATACGGACTGAAGCGTTTGAAAATGTGTTGTCACAATTATCAAATACCTCATGCAGTTGTCCAGTTAATAGGTACCAAAGAATCTTATTCATCGAATGCTGTGAATTTTCATGAAATTGAAATGAATGGAGCAATTGAAATATTGGAATTGGATGCAATTGACGACAATTAATGTAAACTAAAATTTATGTATTTAATATTTATATATTTTATTTCTAAGATATACGGATAATAACCAAAGTTTAAAAAGTTCAAATTGTTGACGATATTCCTAAGGAAAAAAATATTTGAGTTTATGGCATGTAGAATATTAAAAAAATACAGCTTTTATGTAATAACTAATTTGTTTTATTAAAAAAAACCTTTAAAAATATTTCAAACCTCTATAAAATTATAGTATAAAAGTACCAATTTTTGAATTTAAATTTAATTTTTTTCTGTATTAACTAGCGACATATCTAGAGTTTTTCTCTTTATGTGCTAGCGACATCTAGCGACTTTCCAAAGAACATCTAGCTTTTTCTTGCTCTTGCTCAATGGCCACCCTGATGCCTAAATAGCACATGAGCTTGCAACATAAGGTTGCAAAAAATTAAACATAATTTTCAAATCTAGAGACAGATTCGAAATCTGCGATCCCAAAAATATAATTTTGATAATCTGACCTCAAATTTTTTGTTAGCAACGAGTAACATGTTTAAAATGAAATCTGAAATATTTGTAATTTTTTTTTCTTCCGCCATATTGGACCCTCTTTTTCAATTTTGAAAATCTAACCTCAAATTCTTAATTAGCTATACAAAAAACACCCGAGTAACGAATTTCAAGCGAATCCAATGAATTAAAAGAAATCCGCCAATTTAAATTTTCCAATTTGAATAATAGATTCGTAATCAGCGATCGGTAAAACCAACTAGTCACATGTTTTAAATGAAATCTGAAATATTTGTAATTTTTTTTTCTTCCGCCATATTGGACCCTCTTTTTCAATTTTGAAAATCTAACCTCAAATTCTTAATTAGCTATACAAAAAACAATGAGCCAAAAGTTTTGAACGTTCAAATGAACGAAATTTTTTTTTTTTTTTTGCAACTTCTTTAAGTACAAATTTTATTACAAAATATTGTTTTAAATATTTAAAAAGAAGTTATTTAATTTAATAATTGTTTAATTTACTGTTTTATTTTACATTGCTATCATAATTTTTTAATAATTTATAGGTTGAAAAAAATATTTCGTTCATTTGAACGTTCAAAACATTTGGCTCATAAAAAACACCCGAGTAACGAATTTCATGCGAATCCAATGAATTAAAAGAAATCCGCCATTTTGAATTTTCCAATTTGAATGATAGATTCGTAATCAACGATCGGTAAAACCAACTAGTAACATGTTTTAAATGAAATCTGAAATATTTGTAATTTTTTTTTCTTCCGCCATATTGGACCCTCTTTTTTTAATTTTGGAAATCTAACCTCAAATTCGTAATTAGTCATACAAAAAACACCCGAGTAACGAATTTCATGCGAATCCAATGAATTAAAAGAAATCCGCCAATTTGAATTTTCCAATTTGAATGCCAGATTCGTAATCAGCGATCGGTAAAACCAACTAATAACGTCCCAGTAAAAAAAAATGAATTGGGAGTAAGCGATAAGAATTGGTGGTAACTTAAGCTGAATTCGGTTTCGCGAAAAAACCGAATTGGAACGTTACGGTGAATTATTTTTTTCTTACCGTGAATTCTTTTTTCTTACACATTTGAATTGACGTTTGTTTATTCGAGTTTGCATTATAAATGAATAAAATAAATGCTTCGAAGTCTAAAAAAGCCGATTTGGAATAAGAAATATATAATTTAAAAAAAATAAATGAAATCGAAGTGTGACAGATTCACCGACGAGTTTATCAAGTGAGTAGTGTTCATATGATAAATTTACCATATGAGTAGTACTCACATGGTAAAATTGTCGGTATATCTATCATATTTCACTTTTATTTCTTTTTAAAAAATTATATATTTCTTATTCCAAATCGGCTTTTTTAGACTTCGAAGCATTTATTTTATTCATTTATAATGCAAACTCGAATAAACAAACGTCAATTCAAATGTGTAAGAAAAAAGAATTCAGGGTAAGAAAAAAATAATTCACGGTAACGTTCCAATTCGGTTTTTTCGCCAAACCGTATTCAGCTTAAGTTACCACCAATTCTTATCGCTTACTCCCAATTCTTTTTTTTTTACTGGGGTGTTTTAAATGAAATCTGAAATATTTTTTTTCTGACATATTGGAAAAAATCATTTTATTTTATTAAATTTGCTGAATTTGAAGCAATTGGAAAAAAGACTTGAAAATTAGATATCCCATTGTGAATTGAAAGTCGAGAGAGGAGGAAGATCGGTATATATACCACTCTTTCTACAAGAATTCTCGTTTTAACTTATAGACAAAATAGTTAGAAATTCAATGCATATTCGGATTTTTTTGCTATGTTTCTGAGAAAATAGGAGAAAGCAGGTGACAATCCGCAATTATGTATCCACGTGAATGATAAAATTAATTTTCGTTTTACATATATGTGACCGGGTCTAAAAAACGGTGTTCTCGACCAAAAAATCGATTTTCTTTTATGATGGTTTCCTATATTCTAAAAATAAAAAATATAAATGGTTCTAAAAATACAATGCAACTAGTCCCAAATGTTAAAAAAAATTTTTTTTTGAAAAGTTTTTTAAATAAACTATAAGTAACTCAAAGACAAAAATCTCCAGGTATACCCGTCATCGGCAACCTGGTTCTGTAGATAAAAAATAATCTTGGATTATTATTGCGGTTGTCAGTTCTGAAGGTGCATACAAATTTTAGATCTCTAGGACATCAGCAAGTAGTTGATTTTTGTCGAAAGCACTATATTCTCAGATCCGGTCACATATACAAAAAATGTCTTACCTTTTTAGCGACTGCCCAATAGCCAAGGAATGGTGATTCTTCGGTGATGGTTAAGACAGCCGCTTTAATCTTTTCATCCTTGTCCATTAGTTTTTTGCACTCAGTAAACAATCAGTTTAACAGCAATATTAGCAATAATAATTTAATAACAATACTAAATAATGCGGTTATTTTTAGTAAAAAATATAAATAAGCACAACACTCAACTCGACGCTCAGGTTGCAATAAAAATGGCTGAAACGAAGAAAGCCGACCTTGACCGAACAATCCGATCGTATGGACTTGCGCACCTGAGACGAATTAGACCGGATACCAATTCGTGCGCCAGGGCAATTTCATTTTTCCAATTTCAAAATTACAATAGCAATTTTTTCAAGAATAAAAAAATATGAAAATTTGAAAAAAATTCAAAGAAATGTTAAGATGAGAAAATTAAGAAAAATTTTTAAAATAACCAAAAAAGCGAACATTAAAAAAACACGAAAATTGCACCAAAAAAAATAAATTTGAAAAAATAAGAAAAGGTATGGGAAAAAATTTAGACTTTTGGAATGATGTAAGCAAATAAGAAATGTAAAAAAAAGTCAAATGAATTACTTGAAAAATAGAGAATTTAGATTAAAAATTTGATAAAAATATAAAAAAAATAAAAATAATGAAGGCGATTAAAATAAACGCATTTTAATTTCCCATCCGACAAATATATTTATTACAAAGTTATTTTAGAAATACTTTTACAGGTATCATCAGTCTTTCTTAAAACTAATTATTATTATAGTAATAATAATTTTTTTTACAATAACTAGTATCACATTATAATCACAAGTTACAATTATTTTAATTAAAAAATATTACTGAGTTTAACGCTTCGATGGGAACATTATGATACTGATAAAAAGGTTGTTTATCAGTAATAACAATATATGACAAACTGTAATTCAGACTTCTGCAACCTGCCAGCCAGCGAGAAGACGGGGCAAGGGGGCGACATGAGTGTAAGCGAAAAAGAGAAATCAAATTTTTTTTTCGCTCACACTCATGTCGCTCTCTCACCTCATCTACCCACAGACAGGTAGGCTTCAAAGTCATTGTAACTTTACATATTACAACGTAGTTAAAAAAAAAGTTTACATTTTTATGAAAAATTGCCTATTCCAAACGTTCAAATGAACAAAAAATATATTTACTATTTTTTTAACTTTAAATTTTATTGGAAAATATTGTTTTCTTTATCCAAAATTAAATCAAAATTTTAAATTATTTTTAAATTTTTAATCTTATATATGAGCGATTTCACGTGAGATTTCCGTCGACCCTTTATATTCGGCCAAATATATTTTTTTATTGTTCTGCAGTGAAAAAAAAGAGATACGTATTTTTTATCTTAAAAATTTTCGAGTTATGAATTTTCAAAATTTCAGTTTTTTCAATGTAGACCTATTTTCAATGGCTGATAACTGGAAAAAATGGATTTTTTCAATTTTTGCTAAGAAAAGTTTCAGTTTTTCGTTTACTTTTCAATAATGTTAACGAAAAGTAAACGAAAAACTGAAACTTTTCTTCTCTTAGCAAAAATTGCAAAAATCCATTTTTTTCCAGTTATCAGCCATTGAAAATAGGTCTACATTGAAAAAACTGAAATTTAAAAAATTCATAACTCGAAAATTTTTTAGGAAAAAAAAATAAAAAAATATGTTGTAACGTCAAAAACTTTTACATTATTTTATTTAATTATGAAATATTTTCTCAATAATTTAATTGCAATTTCTTTGGACTCGCTTTAATTTTTCCTAAGCAAGTCCAAGGTTCGCGCAATTACCAGGAATTCCATGCGTCAGCATCCCCAGTATATTCACCTGTAGCTTCGCATGAGACAATTGCTAAACGCTCGAAATTAAAATTATATTTCGAAATTAAAATTCTTCTATTCTAGCTCTTGAAGCCGACACGGGTTATTAACCTTTCCCTAAATTATAATTAATTATTTTTATACGTATGGGATAATTAATGGTCTATAATATCGAGAAGGAGCGTAGATACGAGCTCCCCGTGTATTGTAGTACCATCGGAACCTTGCGGCAAGCCTCCTGGCGTTTTTCGTGATTAACTCAGGAACTACTCAAAGTAAAATTATAAAAATATGATATTCGGACTCGGAACGACGCCGCAGGCTTTAGAAACCTTGGTGCAAACTTCCCAATCCATAAACAACGAAGTTACC